ATAAACAGAATAGCTGGTCTTCAAAACAAAACCAAACCCAAGTATTCATTGTAAACTTGTTTTTCCTGAATGATCTGCAAAACATAGTCCAGGTGTCTCTGTACTATCCCCCAATTCTCCTCTTAGCAGACATTCTCTCCACAGCTTTTTTATTACACTTCATTTCCAAAACTTTTGTCAGTACCATTCAGTACATTTTAGCTGCAAGGTTACACGTAACTGTACATCTTTTTCTCTCACTTGGGGAAAAACCTTTAGAAAATGTTCATAAGCAGATGTTGTAAGCAGTTTGAACACAAAGCAGTCATCTGTTTATATACTCTCCATGCAGGAAATATTTTAATATTTTCAAAATTTATGACAGCACCAGGCATTTCAGTTCATATCGGTTTTCATCCCTCCCAAATACTATTTATTATTTACATGTAAAACATCTAATCTGATCTAAATATTTACTTCTCAATTCTTAATCCCATGTCATTAATGTAGTTATAAATTAAAAAGCACTAAAGTTATTTACAGTAAAAAAGAAGCAACTTTTAAAAACAAAACCATACTTTTGACTCTTACCTACTCCTGAAAGTGTAGCACGGGTATCTGTAAATGACAGCTTTTTTTTTTTTTTTTTTTTTTTTTAAAATGCTCACATTGCCTTTCCCTTACTATCTCCAAAAAGTACGGAAGTGAACTTTGTATAGGGAAGATGATTCGATAATTATCAAGATAATTTTACACAGTGTCCTTCATTGTCCAACTGTCCCTCAAGGACTTTACAGAACAGCAAGCCTCTTAGATGTAACCACCATACAGGCAAACGTGGCAGCTGTTCTTTACTCCAGAACAGCTCACCTGTAACAAGAGTAACTTCATACCAAGAGACTGTGCGTGAACCCAAAACACTAGGGAAAATATTTAAACAATTTTAAAAAAAAAAAGGGCATTACATCTGTGAATATAATGCACACTATCTTACAATTCTGTAAACATGCAGAATCGGTATTCTAAGGACATGAGGCATGTAATATATGTCTGGATTTAAAAAAAAAAAGTCTTTAGTATCTGAGAATTAGGTTACATTTTTCCATTTCACACCTTACAGCTAATCCCTAAGTATAAAACAATGCACAACCCCGTACAGATGGGAGAACTCAGACTACTCCAAAGTACTGAGGCCCCTCACTGCTGTTCATACACTAAGCGCAGAAAATTAACTCCTAACATAAAAGAATCAAGTCCTGAGGGTGAAATTTTTATTATTAATAACAGTCTTTGTAAAGAAAAGCTAATCCTCTAGGTAAAGCCCACCACTTATATTTTTTAGTTTTCTGTCCCCCACTTCCATCAGGTGTCAGCAATATTAAGCCTTTGTTTCAGGCTGTGTACAAACTGGACTCTGCTCACCTCTGCTCTCAGTAACACGCTGGGTAAAGCTGTCTCTGGGTGTGTGATCATTTCCTCTATACTTAACAGCTTTGGGTTTTTTTTTTTTTTCTTTTTAAGAGAACATCAAGCAGTACAGACAGATCTGGCATAATCCTGCAGCAGAAAATATGGCAGATATTTTTACCAGGAAAACACAAAGCTGAGTTCTATACATTTTATTAACTTTGGCCCACTGTGTGCAGGGCTATCAGAAGCCTTGAGGCATACACAATTCTAAAAATGGAAACATTCCATAAGGAAAATCCTTCCTGTGTGATGAAACAAAGAAGTTACCACAACAGGATGTGCTGCACGGAGCACATGTGCATCCTTATTTCAATTGTTATGGCATTAGCCCTTCCTAATTGAATTGCTTTTTGGAGCGAAACTTTATTTGCTTTTTAAAAGCAAACATGCTACACCCATAACTATGAAACATGCAGAGACCCACAGGCACAAAAAAGAATTCGCCTCAGGAAGCAGTGCTCAGGTGCATATCTGTGTATGTGGTAAACTGCTAAGCTCACAACATACAGATTACTGTTTCTCTGAGAAAGATTAGTCACAGTGGACAGACAAACCCCAAGATGCAAATTAACACAGCCTCCTATGCACTTGATGACTGGATTATTCCAAAATCTGGAGAACAAAGGTTGAAGGCATCTTATCTCCCATCTCTTTTGATACATGTGAAAGAGGAATGCCAGAGTTTTAAAGCTCAGGAATGAACAAGAAAGCAAGCGCTCCTCTTCTCCTCCGCCCTACACAAGACAGGCATAGGAAGGGAAAATAACCTTACGTCAGTGTTTATTTACATGATAGAAAGTTCATACAATTCGAAAAGTTGTCTCAATAGGAATTCAGCAATTAATGTATTTGCCTGTGTGTCTTCAAAGCTCAAGAGAAAAAAAAAAAAAAAGGATGATTTAAGATCTGATGTTGTGGCTTCAGAAAGTACTGGCGATCACTTGGGAGAAAAGTACCAGGCATCATCAACTAAAATAAAAAACACACATCAAGAATGGCATTAATTTCATGCAACTAGCCAAACACACAAACATTTCAAAAGGAACATTTAACCCTTTTGGATGCCTCCCCTCCTAACACAACACTTCTGGGTGAACTCCATCTCCAGTCTAGGCAAAGCATGTCCTCAAAATAAAGGCCCTTCACTTGAACAGTTTGGCTGAAGCTACCCTGCAAGGAATTGCAACACTGATGTGACTATCCCTGAAAAACATCAAAGATTAGGCAGATGATGTTCAGTTGTCTGTCAGATGTCTGGGCTGTAATACTTTAGTAAATAAATGCTATTTATTGGCATGCCATATAAGGGCAAATGGAACGCAACTTGCTTTCCCATGATACGGGCTACACAGATGTTACTTCGCAAACAATTTGGAACTTGACTCATGACTTCCAGTCTCTTACTGTTTCTGTAACTCCATCTGTCTCAAACAGTGCATACATTTCTCTATGGAGTTCTTGCCAGTGGAAATTTACTTTTTTTTTTTTTTTTTTTTAAAAAAGAGCATAAGTAGCTAACAAATGAAAATCTCAGATGTAATCTTATTTCTTGACTAAAAGTACATGTTGTTAACATGGAAAACAGCATCACAAAAATTAATGAATTTTGCTTTTTAAAATTACACTTGAAAAGTAAGTATGGTTATGTCACTTTTAAGAAAAGGGGCTATTTATTTGATTGGCTAGCTACTATAAAGAATGACAAAAAATAAGCCAAAACAACTTTTCTCAATTAAAAAGGATAACTGTCATACGTTTGCCTTACCTGATCAAAAGGATAGAAAGAAATATTTAATCTTCTCATCTTTTTATGCAGACTACGTGTTAACAGTAATCTTCTTCCATAAACAGCCCCTGAATTTCTGACTACAATCTATTTAACAGCGGACAGGCATTACAGTCTGAAAATATTATCGTCATTCTCATGTAGACTTTTTTCCTTCTCCAACAGGACATTTTTAAAGTAAATGATTATAAAGAAAAAAGCTATATAGCATTTGGGACAAAAAGAATATACCTTTGGGGGAAATAGAATCTCCATTCACAGGTGCTGGTGCCTAAAACAAAACAAAAACAATTAATATGCTGTTTTTAGTTTCTCAGGTAGCATCAAAACTCAAAGCTATTTCACAACTGAATAGATTTGCCCTCGATTTTAATATCAAGAAATATTAATACAAACAGAACTTTCTGTAGGTCCTGCAGAACAATATCTGTCTTTTTTCTTCAGCTACTGTACAATTTTCTTTGTTGTTCATAAATGACAAATTAATATCTTATCTAACACAAGGGGGATTTTCCTACTCTATTGTCTTTGAGGATAACAGGATTTGGCCTTTACATACTAAAGAGTAAAGAATGTTACATGTGCAATAACAGTTACATTACCATGCACAAGGGTATATGCACACAATATATATTAGATTCAAACATTTGAAAATAAATGTATAATTATACTTTTACAACTATATTTTGACAGAGGAGTCATTTTTGTGGAGAATAATGAATTCTGTTTCAAAAAAAAGTATGTCTGTAGGTCCAAGTCAGACCTTTCTCAGCAAAGTTGGAAACAACACTACTACAGCATATCCTGTTCTTGCACTTAAAGCTAAGGGAAGAAATTAAGGTCAATTTTAAAACCAGCTGGAACCAGCCCTCCTTGCAATGAAGATGCAAGTATAGTTATACTAATAAGAAAAATAACTTTCCACTGTCCTTCGCTCAGTTCCTCAAACAGGCAAGTTCTCCAACTGACATAACTGATGAGGAAATGGTGAATATCTCAGCACACAGGATCTTGCAACATCCAGCTACGTGCACAAATCAAGTGAAAAAACATTGTCCTTTGCTGTGACACAGGCCCATCTAAGCTGGGCTTACCCAAACAGGCAGCCCTGGGGCAAATCACTTAGGTGACTTGAGCAGCAAAAAAAAGGGAAAAGAAAAAAAAGAAAACACACCACACACACACACACAGTCTGAAAGACAGGGCTTATTGACACTTCGGGAGAACAAAGCTGCACTGTGAACAACATTGTCTTCTGAATTTATAGGTGGAAAACACTTTCTGCTATCACTAAGAGCACCTAAAGACATTAACAAGGGCTCTACAGTAATTTAAGGACAGCCAAGCTCAAACAGATGCTGCAGCAAGAGGGCTCAGCACAAGGCACAGCTCGAGCTACACCAGGGTGAGCGTGGCTGTCTCTGAGCACGCACAGACTGTTTTGGAGAGCCAGCCCTGGGAGCAGCAAGGGGGAAAAAAACAGTATTCTCCTTCCCGCTTTACCCCACCACATCCCCAGAGGGGCTATAGGGCCAGTGCCTGGTCAAAAAGGAGGTGTCAGTGTGCTGAATCCAACCCAGGTCTCTGGTCTCATCACCAAACCATTCTCTTCAGAGTTATGGTGGTCTTTCCAGCCTTAAATATAAAGAGTGAGAGTGAGTGGTCACTGTGTCCAAAAGGTGCCTGCCACTGCTGGCATAATTGCTCTCAAAGCTTAGGCTGAGAACTCACAGGACCAGCTTCCCACCTGGAACAGGTCCAACAAACCCATCCCACTGAAAGAGGGGAACCTTCCTGACAGAATCCTTTCACTTAGGGTCCAAATGAAAAAACAAACATAATCTTTTGTTTCACAACTGGCCACTGAATAGATAGTTCTGCTTCTGCTAAGTTCTAAAAAGTTGTAGATGAAAGGCAGTTAGCAGACCTCTCCACTTAGATCTGAATTATTTTAAACACATTAGTAAACCTGCAGATTAAGATTTTGGTGGATATTTTGTTAAATGATACAGAAAAGCCAAATGTTTTGGCCAAAGAGATTTTTCTGTCTTTTATCAAAGAGACCTCATCTAGCAAAGCTTTCCTAGTTCGTTTTCTTTCAAGAATTACAAGGGGAAAACTATGTGGTAAGTCTGAGAAACACTGCTCTACTAACTATACATAGATTGCCTTGGAGGTTTTCCAATTTAAAATCTCTTCAGCGGCTTCTTCAGAGAGTTGGTGAGCAAGCAGTTCTTGGGATTACTGTTAAATAAAGGTCTGTCTGTCCTGGTCAGTTTTGCAGATGGCAACACTCAGAAGGCTGAAACAAACAGTACATCTTAGCACAACATATTCAACTACAAGGCTGCCCTCCTCCAGGGTTGAGTCCTCAGTGTGTTCCAACACTGGAGCTGACAAAGAGATGAAAGTTTTCAGATGCTAAGAAACACCACAAACTTTCAGTGGGCTGACATAGTTCGAATGTTCAGTTCATGTCCTCATACGTACAGGTTATCTTCAGATCTCACTAGGATTGACTGGACATGGCAACTTCCCCAGCTGTAGAATTTTTCCTGATTTACTACATATAATTTGACACATTTTCTGTCCTGAAAGCACACTGGAAATTCCCCAACATAAGCCATTTTAGTCCCACATCTAAAATAATGAAAGGTCACATTCTAGCACAAGTCCTACTGGAATCAGGACTACCTGTGGAATTATTCAATCAAAAATGCATCTAAATCTGAACTGTGCATAATTTGGTAAGCACTTGATAAGGATTCTTTTGCTGGTTTACCATTTTTTTTTAGTTAATTTCTCTTTTCACCCTAAAAAAAAAAAAGGTTTACAATAATAGTGGGGTTTTTTTGTTGTTGTTGCTGAAAGCCTGCTATATCTGATTTAATAAAAGACAATTAACACTACCTAAGAAATACCATAATTGAAGTCTGACCTAGGAAACAGAAGTGTAAAATGAGTTCACAATGCCACAAGTTAATTATGCAGTAGTTGAAATGTTTCTCATTATAAAAAAATGTTTTTTCATCCCTCTTTTTATCCAGAATTTAATATATGGACAAAAAATAGAAATTTGTGCTTTTAGTTTCAAAAATATAGATACAGACAGCTTAAATTTAAAATCACCAAGGCCATTAAGATTCCCCAGCCAACACTCACATATTTTCACTTCTGCTCGAAACAGATGAATGCTTGACAAGCAAACTGGGCAGTGTAGTGTACTAGACAAAAAGATACCTGCTTAAAATGCAGAGGTCAACTTATTTGCTTATATTCAGATTTCAACAGTATCTTCCAAGCTACTTTAGATGGAAAATTGCATATAGTAATAATGGTATGTAAAACAGGACTGCATCTTTTCTGTGTTTGGAAAACACTAAAAACCAGACACCTACATCAGCACAATTTAAGTATGTAGAATATACTGAAACAGAATGATGAAAAAGAATATGGCATGACAACTTCACAAAACAATAGCACTGCAAAGACAAGTCTTCATATTTTAAAGTCTGACTCAAAGTATGGGCTTTTATAAAGAGGATTTATAAATCCAAAACTCCAGAAAAATTGTAATTTGTTGTTAAGAGCAAAATAATAGATACTGCTGGTTTAAACAGATATTTATTTACTTACATGTTTTGAAGTACAAGCTGCACAGAACACACAAAAGGAAATACTCCTTTGCACATTTGTCACTATTCAAACTAAGAACATATTTGAACTTGAAATTTTAGTTGCATTTAAATATCCATTAAAATTTATTGCAAATTTGAAAGTATAGGAGAGGTAAATATTGGCCTACACCTGTGACTGACATGACTAAAAGCATATCTGAATACCCATGTAAAAGTTACAGTCCCATTAATCAATATGGATCAAAACACACTCACAAGTGTGAATGCTGAGCTTACTGAAAGCAACACACCAGGCAAGGAAAAAAAAAGTTCAGTTTGGCACCTCCTTAAGTTTTAAACAACCTTCTTTTGCAAGTGACTGAGCCTTACTTGCTTATGACAAACTAGCACTGAGGACAATACCTTCTTCCTAGAAACAGTAGTTGGAGTCTTAACGGCACAGACCATGGATGTTGTCTCTTTTGAGACCTGCACTTGCATAATTACTGTGACTAGTGGGGCAAATCCCTGACTGTGCGCAGCCCTCATTAGTTAGCTACCCAGGCAGCCATGCACACGGGCTAAATACCTGGCATGCTCCCGTGGTCATGGTCATAGGCACAACCACAACCCAAGTATGTCAAAAAAAGGAAGAAAAAAAAAGCAAGTACTTTGGGTTTCTTTTCTTTAAGTAATTTCTCTTAACTTTGCTTACATTCTGGCATCCAAACCAGCATATTTTAAAATGGAAGAAATTCTCTTTCACTAGCATTTGCACATGAAAGCATAAGACCTGCAGGACATCTTTCTCGCCTAAACAGGAAACCTGCGTGTTTTAATTTTATGTTAATTTGCAGAATATGACAGGCATTCTTTAAGAAACATCAAAAAAGCGATCCTCTTTTTACAGCGATGCATTTAATTATGCAAGTAGACAAACAAAGGATGCTTTTAGTGATTAGGGACTACAGTCAGCTAGTCAATGAGTTCTAACACTGGGTGGTAACTCATGGCAACAGGGGAGACAGAAGACAGCAGGCTAGATACAAATAGCAGTCCATCTTGCTATTCAGGATCAGAAGGAACAACACTACAGAGCGAAAAAAAAAGGGAAAAAAGGAAAAAAAAAACACACAAAAAGCAGCAGAATGGTAATGAACCTGCCAGAAAAATACAATTGGACCACTGCAATGAAAGGTTTATATTATAATATTTCCATCTCCCCCCACTATCTTTCTGCTCTTCCTTTTAATTAAAATGAAATCTAAGGCATAAAGTAAGGGCTATTTCAGTTTAGTTACTTTTTCTTCTTTTTTTTAATTAACAGATTAAAAAAGTAAATATTGCCCTTACCGATTGTACAATTGATTGGGCATCCTCTTCACTGCAGCAAAATGGGCTATCACCCACCAGAACATTTGTGCTGAGAAATAAAATTATTATGTTTATCAACTGTTATAAAAGAAACAGATAATTAAGTGTGCAAAGGGAAGGAAAAAAAAACAAACAAAACAACAACAACACACAACTCCACACAAAGAGCTCAGAAATGAGGAAACCAAAAACAAAGTATCCAGCAACGTTGAAGGGGACTAGGAGGATATTCTTTGTTTCTGTGGGACTGCGTTTTGGGGGGGGTGGGAGGGCTGTTCATTTTTATGCAAGTGTGCTTCATTACCGTAAGCAGTACTCTCACACTCTGCTTCTGGCAGCTAACTCGGGAATAATGCAAAGATCCACAGCTAGGAATCTAAATCTGCCCAGAAGTCAGAGAGACAGGGGCATTACTTGAGGGAGTTACCTCCTGGGCTAACATGGATGGCACAAATGTCCTGCATGTCCCTTCTGCATTAAAGGACGGCAGATGCTACATGCATACAGAGACACTCTTGGTCTGCTGCAGCCTGCTGCACCCTTAAGCATGGGCAGAAGAAGAAAAAACAACAACAAAAAAAACCCCACCCCACACACAGAAAAAGAAAACCCAGACCAAAATTCTGCTCTTACATAAAGCATCAGATGCCTGTACAGCTTCCATAGAGAAAAAATAGTATCAGTTACCCTGCAGACTATGAATTCCTATCCTTTTACACCAAAATTAGTTTGGTCATGATTTTTTAAAGGTCCCACACAACCTCTCAAAGCAAGACTGTGATTTTAATTATTTTTAAATTGCATTAACATGTAGCTCAAAGCATTTCTCAAACCATGAAAACTCAAGTTAAACACTAAAAAAGTTGCAGAATAATATTCAAACTAAAATTATAACTGGTCCAACTGTAGAATTTGTTCAGTGAGTCTCAGGGAAGAGAAAGTCGCATTTCACCAAGAAAGTTCAAGAGAACAGCGACTATGTGAGCAGAGCCTCTGCCCTCCCAATTGGCTCATGTGAATCTACAGCCCTTGGACAGCACCAGGGAAACACACCTGCCGGCACTGCAGGGCAGAACTGCCACTGCAAATGAGCAAGAGAGTTTAATACTCAAGTCCCTTTCAGTTTAGATCAGGACAAAGGCTGGCAATGATATTCCAGACAATCATTTTCTGTTTATTTTTTAGAAAAAAAGGAATCTTAAACAGCAAAGAAATTAAGGAAGCAGTAAACAGTGACAAGACAACTAAATCAGGATTTTCATGAGATATGGAGATTCTCCTCAAATAGTATCAAACACACTCTCTGGGACTATTGCTAGGAAGTTGTAATAGTCTACATTATTTTATATAATCAATATATTTTTGAACAACTTACTGTATTACACAAGGTGCAATTATCACATAAAATTATTAATTATCAATCTTAAAAACACAAATATTCCTATGACCTCGAAGCAAAAAGTCTAAGCAGTTCATGCACAGCTGCCACGTGTTGAACACCAATAGTACTAGCACAAAGAGGAAAAGATTTGACTGGATACTTACCATTTAATAGTACCTCCATCAGCTTTTTTATGAAGCAAAGCTTTCCAGTATTCATGGGTAGATTTAATAATTTCAACAGCAAAATCCTGGTTTATACGAAGGAAAAGGCTATTTAAATAGGCTATTTAAAAGGAAAAAAAAAAAGTAATAGAACTAGTTCATTAAAACATACTGTTTCACATGTTATATTTTCCAGAAATTTAATGAGGCCTCAAAAGAAGCCCCTTAAAATAACACCCTCTTTATGAAAAGAAACAAACTTCACTATCTGTCAAATACACTGGCAATGCATTCAGGACTTTCCTTCAGTTGGCAGCCAGAAAACTGAAAGGCTGCGTGAAAGAATGAAATTAGCACTAGATACTAAACAGACATCTACATCTACAGAAAACTGTACCAGGTCCTAAGCAGGACAAAGTGCATAAGCCTATGAGTCCTCTGCTGTACGTGCATATTGGGCCAGAACTAACAGTTTCCCTTCCATGCTAAAATGTGTTTACCTCGTTACTTGCTCAGTCACATACACATTCACAGCAATGTAACATGTCAGCTGCTTAACTGTTTTTTTTTGTTTGCTTGTTTAAAAACAAAAATAATATCAGGGGAAGAGGAATGAAAAAAATCCATAGTGTCCAGATGCTATCTGGACTGCCTTGCAAAAAGCTGCCAACAGAACATGCGCGTTTCCTAACAAGGAGTGACTTGGCAAGATGCCACCAGAACACTCTGAACTTCATCAGAGCTGCTGGAAGGCAGCCATGGCCGCCTTGCCACATCCTGGGTCTCCAGAAATGCTTGAGAAGCATCCGAGTGCTCCAAACTAGCTACACCAGGCTCTTCAGAGTCTCAAATCCAAACTCCAACCATTTGACCACATCCCAGTTAAACTGTTGCTATGGCAGGACTACAGGGCAAGCAAATCAGAAGAGTAGTGACTGGGAGAACAGGGAACAGATCATCAGGCTCTCCAGCCATCCTACTCTAGGTTTGATTGAATTAAAAGACACTTTTCAGTGCAGAGGGGAGCTGGAACCCATGCAATAAATAAATAAAGCGTAAAATTGTTTGTGCTGGTTAGAGAGCATTTTATGACTCTGAAAAGCACACTGCAAGGCTGGACTTGCTGACACATGGACATCATTCATTAGGAACTTATGATTCTCTGCCAAAAAGTGTACCGAGTGCACAATATATGATTTGCAAAGTATTTCTACTCAAATCAAAATCAGTTTCCTCTGGAAAAGCCCAGGCATTTTCCTCAGCAAAGTCTACTCCCAGGCCCACTCTCCTTTCAAACACTGGCCATTTTTGCTACAGGATGTTTAAAAAGCGATTCATTTTTTTCTAAAAAAGGAAAAAATATTTTTTCAGTCTTCAAGCCAAAAACAGCTCAAATGTTCTTGTATAAAATTATCAGGAAAAAGTATACCTTATGCAAACACCAAATATGGGCAAGTCTGCAACCTATTGTCATGCTTAAACTGCACAGCTTTGAAAAGTGTTACAAAAATTATCAATCAAGACTAGAAGGGGAAGAAAAAAAAAAAACACACACAGTCTGCTCACTCCTCAGAGAGAGGCTGAAAATATTTTAACAAGCACCGCAAGCAGTCTATTTAGGATTGGGACCAAATGTTTTTAACTATCTTTAATAACACATATATTTCCCTTGGATAAAATGAAAGACACCGAAAATTATTTATTACTGTCCGCATATCCTATGTTCAAAGATCCCTCATATAAAAATTCTGTATACTAAAGCTCCTCCTCTTTTGCAATAAATTCCCAAAAATCTAGGATGGATCAAGGAAGCCATACGGCAGCAAGATACACCTTTAATTTCGTATCATCTTCACCTTGTCTTTAAATTCTCCATTAAACGCAAAGCGATTTTCTGGTTTACCATCTGGGACCTTATATGATCGGAACCAGTCAATTGTAGCCTCAAGGTAGCCTGGTTTGTGCTTCCTGACATCATCAATATCTGTTGATAAAAAAAGAGGGGGGAGGTCATTTTTACTCACAGATTTGGTAATACAAATTGATTTCACTGAACGCTTTCGAAGTCATCAAGGAACTTCACTTTATTGCATCAGCTGCCGTAGTTGATATTTTTATGATTTCAACAGCACACTAAAGAGGTAAAATAGTTGCCTCCTGTTCTTCATTAAGACCCAAGGAGACAAAGAATAAAAAGCCCATACTTAAGAAACATGAAGAATATTTCATGTTTATAGATCTTCATCTTGATATGCCTCTCTTGCAATGCCTGCAAAGTAAGTCTTGTGGAATAATCCAACAACTGTAGCCACCACAGAATTTTTTGATAATGAAATAATACCTACTAAAAACTACATTAACATATGGATTTTAAACCACCATCTCAAAACACAGTATGGGCTTGACTTCTCAAAGTTGTATTAAATGCATCCCTTTATCCTCATTACTTCCAAATTCAGCCCTGTAGATGAGACGAGCACGTGCCAGGCGCTCCGAACACCAGCTCTGCTGATAACCCTTATGTGTTATCTACATCTTTGCAGTGATAAGACAGCTCAACCTCCTGTTGTGCAGAGTGGGACAGGACCCAAGGAGGAACGCACGCAGAGCACGTGCAGGGCACACCTGGAGACAGAGATGAACATTGTCTCAGTGGGTAGATTAGGAACAGGAAGGTTCTACTCTACAACATTCACATCCTTCTTTTTCCAACTACTTGTCTCATACCGCCCCTCCTGACAGAAACAGGAGCTGATTTTTTTTTTTTTTTAATCACCATGTCCCTTCTGTACGCAGTCTTCCTACTATTTCAAAACTCCACTCTGTCCAGGTGGCCTTTTGCAGCGTTCCTCTTTTCTCCAGTGTTTTGCAAGTCATTTGTTTGCTTCTCCCTTCCTGCTTCCCCAGCATCTCCTCTGTCGCTCTCTCCCTGTCCTTCCTGTCTGGCTACTCTGTTCTCCTCTCCTGTGAATGGGTCTCAGTCCCAGCTGACAATGACTGCTGAGAGACACTCTCCTGTCTACTCTGTCAAAGGTACTTAGTTTATGGGATTAACTCCTAGTCATGTCCTTTCCAGCTTTAAGTGACAGGAGTATCTTTCTAAAGTCTGGACCTGAGGGGAAGAAAACAACAAAACCAAAACAAACAAAAAGCACACACACACACACAAATATACACACAAGAAGCTACAGACCATTCAATTCTCTACAGATCACTGAGAGTTAACAGATGGACTGAACACTAAGACTAAAGCTATACAAGATGATATGCTAAGTGTTCACAGGCATCAGATAACTGCCACTCCCAAATTCCACTGGATCACATACTACCCAAAGAATAAAGTATAAAACCCTGAAGAGCTCTATGTGCATTTTTGCTTCTGCATGCACTTAATAAGCCTACGTGCCTATGGACTTAGAGTAAAATACATTTTGAACTTGGCTACTGCCTCTCTGCCTGCAGAAAATCAGGGAGTTTCACTGGCAGAATCCCCAGGAAAAAGGAAAGAAAAAAAAAAAGAAAAAAAAATAATAAGAAAGCAAGGGCATGTAAGGCTGGGCTGAAGGCGGGTCTTCCTGAAATGCAAGTGTAAAAGGACAAGAAACCTTTCACAGCAGTGGGTGGATGGGTGGTTGGGTGACCAGAAGGAATGCGTTAGAAAATCGTAGGTCTTGGTTGAAGGTGGGATGCTCTATTTGAGCAGTATAAAACTACAGCTACAATTAAAATTAGTTTTAGGATGCCAGTGCACCATCCTCTTCCATCTAAGCAAGGGAGCATCCCCTCTCCTGAGCCTGTGTGACCTCCTCTTGTGGAGACTGAACTTGCAACTTCGATCATTTCTTGAACACATATTATGGCAACAGTCTTCAGGTCTATAAAGCAAAGCAGGCTGCAGCAACTTCCTTGGCTCCCATTGGGGGATGAACTCCAGGTCTCCCTCTCCAGACAGCGTACAAATTCAAGTGCGCTTTCTCAGACTGCTGTTCCTTTGCTGGTTGTGGTTCCAGCAAATCTCTCACCCAAAGTTTCTTCACCATTCCTCTTCCTCAGATATATGTCTCCTATTTCCCTCAAAATTATTTATCAGGAAGGCTTCGCTGATAGACATTTGAGACCCTCCTCATCTGGCACGCCATATATTTGTTTCTTTTGAAGACCCAAATGCTAGAATAGACTCCAGCAGACTCTCTTTGCCTTCCTAAGCCAGACCATCTTCATAAACAAAAATATCTCTTCAAATTTTTGTATTCTTGCTCTTGGAAAATATCTAGCCTATGTAATCTGACTATGCTCCAGCATTAGAAGGCCTAAAAGAACTATCTGCTGTATATTCTGCCTTGAGGACTGGAGAAGTAACACATTGGCTGCTTATTTTTCCCCTAGTTCTTTGTAAACTAGTTTCCTTTCCTTCCATGCTTCACTTCACTATTCTTTACTATGAAGGAGAGTTACAGGGTACCAACAGAGGCTTATCCTGTTTATTGCAAAAAATAAAAACTGTGTAAATGAGAGTTGGGGGTCAAGTGGCAGGAACAAAACACAGTAACAGCCAAAAAAAAAAAAAATCCTACTGCTGTGGACTCAGCACACACAGCACAAAAATATAAGAACAATAGCAGCTTTCACAAGCTATCTCTCCAGTTTATTAAAAGTATCATAAAAAAGCTTGAAAGAGAGCCTGTCCTCTACTTTTGTTTGAAGTCCAAACCACAGCTTTGGGGTGTCAGGGGAAGGAAGAGAAAAATATCCTCAGAGAATAGAAGAGAAAGCAAACAAAGGTAAAAGTTTGCTTTGTTAATGGTAGGCAGTACACTGATTTAATGCACTAATATCTATTCAGTTAGCTTCATATTCCGAGGAGGATAAAAATAAAAAGGAGTCAGGTGTCCTCTACACAGCAGACACAGCTTTCTGACCCTGACTGCCACTCTTACCTTGTCTTGGAGCTATGTATTCACACAAACATCAAAGGGGACTACGCATGCATGGAAGTTGCAAGCACAGACCCAGTCTAATGGGATTCTCTCTCTGCAAGCAAGCCCTGCACACTGGGACAGAGAGAACAGAAAGGTCAGGCTCCTGCAGGTAACATACCTCAACAGGCATTCACTGGACTCTAGGCTGTAACTTCTCTCTGTTGCCTACGGGCAACTAGAGATACAAGTTTTCCAGTCACCAAAGTTACGCACCAAGGGTTAAGCGGGCAGAATTGGCTATCGCATTATAGGCTGCAGTTTAGGCTCAATAAGGAAAATCTCTTGAGGCTGGCACAAAGAACTGCTGCTAGCTCTCTGGCAAGGCAGTGAGCCAAGGCAAATGGAGCTCCCAACTCTAGCAGGCCTTACAAAAGGGAGCGACAAAAAGATTTGTACTGAACTACCATTTTTAGTACAACAGATGCTGCTTCTTGCAAGCAAAGCTAAAACAACATGCTTGCAGCAAGCTTTCTAAACAAGGTCTGTGGGAAGAGAGGACATATGTTTTTAATAACATCTTATAAACATTTAGAGGAAGCAGCAGCTACATTCCATATAAAGGCATTTGGTGTGTTTTGTGCAGCATGGTGTGAGGGGGTAGGAATGGAGCCCTAGTACAGATAATTAATTTCTTTATATTGAAGGCTTACACAAATCCACAACAAAGGTTTTTAGGGCCTCTGCTGCTGTTCTGCATACAAATGCACTTACAAGTAAACCGTATATAACAATATAGAGCAAAGTGTGCAACATGCTTTACTTTTGCCATTTAGGGTACGATCAAATAACTCAAAATGCCATCTTGAGTGGCGTATGGGGAAAAAAGCATGACAATATAGCACAGCTAACTATCAGCACTAGGAAATGCTGGTGTACAAAAGCCAGTAGAAACCACTTTTGTTGACCATAGCTAAACATCTTTCCAGTGAGCAATAGCATAAAACAGCTGCTCAATTCCGAAGCCAGCAAGTCACCTGTGGAATGCCATCTTTGTCCCATCTACATCACTTGCCCAACTTGTTTAGAGAAGGCAAGAAGATTGAGAGTCAGATTTTTCATAAGACGCTTCATACATACTTCCATTGCCAGTGATTTTCAAAAATTCTTGTCCAATGTAAAAAAAATACTCTATACAGTTAGACCAAATTACAACACCAACACACTGTTCATCTTTTGGGGTTCCCTTGTAAAGCACATCAGATACATATTGCAATTTATTTAATTCAGTCCGAATTATAAGATAAGCAGACAGGAAGTTTTCCTACTCCAAGAATTTGCTTCTTTCTTTGGCCAATGTTACATTAAAAAGAAGGCCAGGAACTATTATACCGCCAAGATTTAGTGTTTCAGAGTGCAAGGAGATTTTAGGCCCTTTCCCAGATCTGTTTGGACTGAAGTTGTTTTGCTGGTCTGCTAATAGCCATCTGGGTAGCAGCTGCCTAAGCAGAAAGATAACTCAGTGGTTTTCAGGTAGCTACAAAGGCAGATCTTACTGAAACAGATAAATCTGAAAGCAGATAGCTTTAGCATAAAAGAACCTCTCACACACACACCTGCATCTGATGTAAAGCTTCTATGTAGAGAGAGAGAGAGAGAGAGAGAGAGAGAGAGAGAGAGAGAGAGAAGAGGGAGGGGGGAGAGACAGAGAGAAAGATCCACCAATATTAAGCACTATAATTTCAAACAGATTACTTTGTAAACTCAGACCAAAAAGACACTAGCCCTTGCTACTCCTATTGATGATGAAGTTCCCACTTGAACAGATTCTGAGCATCACTGATCCTTTCTGGGTATTGTAACCATATACTAGAGTTTTTCATTATTCTGTATCAAAGAGGGAGTTGCAGGCAGGGTTTCCAATCTAAAGCTGTATTTATCAATACAGGCTTGCAGGACACAGTACTGTGGAATCCTGTGAATATACAATGAGAATTGCTCAGAATTTGGGACTGCTCCATTTAAAGTTCTGCAAAGTCTCAGAAAAATCAACTTCATTTACGAGAACAATCGCAATCCCAGAAGGAGGGTATACAGAGTACCTTGGGTGTGCTTAAAGTAGCAAGAAGCATTAACACAGCGCACAGGCTCAGGATGGGCTTTTCAAGTAACCATCACTCTGGTGCCTCAGAATTATCTTTCCAAATGTTTGCGGGGCTACGCATCCACTGGGCAGAAAGCAAATGCAATGATTCTCAGACCAAACGGAAATGTTTAATGAATGACACAAAAATGACCGGACAGACTTAGAAAGCCTCTTA